CTGATATTACAGAGTGCATGGTATATTGGCAGGAAGAAACTGAGTTCATGTCAGAAGCCCTTTAATAGAATAGAATTTTATTTATGACCCTTCTCTCTCTCCCGTCTCTCCCTCCCTTCCTCTCTCTCCTCTTTCTCTCTCCCCCCCTCTCTCTCCCTCTCTCTCATGACTAATAGTTTACTGACCAATCTTGATAGAATATTCCTCAAATTTTCAACATAATAAAACAATCCTATCAGAAAAATTCTATAATCTTTTTTAATCTGGATAAAATGTATCAGATAATCCCTGTATTTTACAAACGGAGGGGAGGAGGAGGAGCTGTTTGCAATTCCAAGCACAAAGTTCAGTAATGAAGGTAGCACATTTAGTCCTTGAGAAATGACAGGCCACTTAATGACTGCTCAAAATTATGACCAACTTCCCCAAACTACATAGGAACCTGTTTTAAAATTACAACAGATAACAGATGCAGTACAGGATGAGGTTCCAAAAATCTTTTCCTTGCTTAGCTCTTTCCCGCCTCCCTCTCCCAAAGCCACATTCGTTCAATTAAAAAAAAAAAACCCAGAAAAGCTCTTGGTCCAATTAGATGTTAAAATGAATTCTTCTGCTCCCCACTCTCTATCCCATGTAATAAATTATCTTTATTCCATGCTAAAAAAATAGAGGAACCAAGAAAGCAAGAAAAAAAATCAGTAGCTTTTTTCCTAGAATTGAAGGGGAAAAAACCATCTCCAAAACTTAAGTTGACTAGAAACTTCTGCTAGAAAATGAACGATGCTTGGTCTTTGTAAGCTTTAGCCATTTTATTTTCACTTCTTCCAGAGGGTTGCTACAATCTAGCCTTTAAGTCTTAGTTGGGCTCTACAGGCAGTCAGACAGACAGGATCTTATCCTGAAGCTGTTCATCAAGATCATTCAACTCATCCTCAAGCTGCCTTTTATGCAAGGGCTGGCTTCCCATAGCCTATAGAGGCAAGAGATCTTTGCAGCCCCACTGGCCAGCTGATGAGAGGCAGCTGTTTCATGCAAAAAGCTCCAAAAGGCTAGAGAACTTATTCTCTATTTGCCCCAGAAATAAGGTGACCAGATTTTCAGATTGGAAAAGAGGGACGCCCTTGACCCGGGGGGGGGGGGCTTGATTTAAAAAAGAAAACTCTTCTTTCACAGCAAAATAATGTAGAAAAATTACATACAATGACTCTTTTCAGGTTTATGCACTAGCCCAGTAAACACAAATGTTTGATCAGAAAAAATATGTCCAAGATAGGAGCAATAAGCTATACACCATGATTTAGGAGTTTGATTTTTTTCAAAAATAAATGCTAAAATACTAAACTGTATATATGCACATTTAGGTAAATAAATAGTGTTCTGTATACCCTCTCGGAGGCGGCGATCGATCCCAATCACGAACGGACTCCGCGGAAGGGTGGGGCCCGTGGGGGCAGCAGCAGCCACCCGCAGATAACCTCCACGCGGTTCAGGGGCTTCTGCCGGGCGGCGGGAGCCCCGGAAGCGAGAGGAAGTTGTCTGCGGGCGGCTGCCAGCGCTCCAACCTCTCCTCCTGCCGCGGCGATCCATTTTGATTCACGAACGGACTCCGCGGCAGGAGGAGAGGTTGGGGC